TGTCTCTATATAATCTCTATATATAATAATGTCTCTATATAATCTATATATATATATATATATATATTATCAAATCCTCTTGATTCAAAACGATCTTGATTACTTTTATTAATTTGTATGTAGCTGTTTTGAGACAAATTAGTTGTTTCGACGCTCTCAGGTTGTACAGGTAATTCATCCTCGAGAAAGTCGAATAGGGATATTTTTCCGCTGCTTGGTTTACTGTCCTCGGTTTTCTTTTCCCGTTTGCCACGCGACTCTCGTGGTTCCAATAATACCAGCTTTAAATGGCAATCCTTGACCTATATCTCCCAAAATTAAGTCACCATCTAATTCTCTTTCACCAACAGCTACGTCTAAAAATAAAATAATGTATTAATATGATATTATGACTACGGTCAACGTGACACTACAAATGCTTCGAAGCATTCCTCTTCTCTTTTCTTTCAATGAAGAAAGAAGGAGAAGAAGAACGCTCCAGAGCATTTGTATCACGTTGACCGTGGCCTATATATCAAGATATATATATATATCAACAACCTGTTCACCGTTCTCTGGATAGAATTGTAACACTGCTCTTGCGCTTCTTGACAGACATGCATACAACGTTGATAAGAAACGATATAAACGTTTTGTAGGATTGTGCAAAGTTTTGCTTGCATAGCACAACCACAAGCGCAGAAATACTGACAGCCCCATCAAACGTACCAGCTTTAAATGGCAATCCTTGACCTATATCTCCCAAAATTAAGTCACCATCTAATTATCTTTCATCAACAGCTACGTCTAAAAATAAAATAATGTATTAATATGATATTATGGCTACGGTCAACGTGACATTACAAATGCTTTGAAGCATTCCTCTTCTCTTTTCTTTCAATGAAGAAAGAAGGAGAAGAAGAACGCTCCAGAGCATTTGTATCACGTTGACCGTAGCCTATATATCAAGATATATATATATCTTTCAGCAACGTGCACAACTTCATTTGAGGTTATAATTGGGTACAACATTCATCGCACGATACTTTTATAATTGCAAATCGGAAACGTACCTCGAGTTCAGCTCTTCTGCGATCAACGAAGTCGGGATCGAACGTGTCAGTCGTCACTTTCTGCCAAGCGTAAAGAACCTTCTTTTCCGGCAGCGATGGTAACACGATGTAGGGATACGAAATCTCCAGATAAGCACGAAGCAATTCAATTCAGTATATCGTCGGCACGATTATTACGGTGTTACTGCCGTTTCGCGTACGCGCGTATGCGCGCGTTGTCGCACCTTACCTCGCGACGCGTAATAAAGAATCACACGGTCGGTCTCGCTCCGCGCGTACTACCGTGTCTCTCGATCGATCGAGATAGGTTAACTGATGAATAGGAACTGACTGACACTGACTGACAGCGGGCTAAACGAACGCACTGTCTACACTGCACTGCACTGCGATACTAACGCCGCTAGCCGCCAGTGTCGAAAAAGTGAAAGTGACGTTTCTCTGATAATCATAATAATATTGAGATAAGAGCGGTCGACGTAGAAGTAGGAGGAAGTATCTTAAAAATAAATTTTCACATTTGGACTTTGCGTCGCAATATCTCCGCTCGTAGGGCACGTAGCGGAATATTATGAGAGAAACCCCCCCCCTAATTGGACCCCAAGCTATCGATCAAGCCTACTTAGAACTTGATCCGTTCACTCGTTATCGAGATCTCAACATCTCGGGTACTCGCAACCCGTCGTGTCGCGTAAAAGAGTCACGGTCGGTCTCGCTCCGCGTGTACTTGGCGCGAGACACTACCGTGTCTCTTGATTTCCAAACACGATAAATAAAAATTGCTAATTAGTATAATTTTTTTAGAAATGTCCGTGGTTGCTCTAACTTACGCAAATTTTGAGATATCGATCTATTTCTAATTTTATTATATTTTTTAGTCTTTTTTACCCCTATTTCATATATAATTTTTTAAGATTTATTTGATTAGACCCAGCTTTATACGCGATCAAAGGTCCATAATTTTGATCGCATATAAAGCTAAGTCTAATTAACCGAATTTAAAAGAATTATATATGAAATAGGGGTAGAAAAGACTAAAAAATATAATAAAATTAGTAATAGATCGATATCTCCAAATTTGCGGAAGTTAAAACTTCCTCTATGAGGAAGCCATGTGCAAATTTCTAATTTTTTATCTTTTTCTAAGAATTAGAAAAAAATGAAAAATAATTTAAACCTAGATTAAAGTTAATCTGCATTGGTGGAAATGGACGTTAATGTTTTAACTCGCGTTGTGAATCACGCAATTGATGATCAAAGACAAAAGAGTTGATCGCGAGGTGAACTCACAACTAAAACTTCCCTGTGTTTAAACGCGTTAAGAATTAAAACGTTCCGCGGAGAACAGAGACTACAGCGAGTTTACGAGGAAAAATCCTTGTCAAAAGGGATGAGTGTTTTACACGGAAAATATTTTTATTATATTCGTCGGTCGTATCGGTGGTATCATTAACGCTTTTTTTGAATATTAATTAAACGAATTAGGCAGAATATGAGCGACTAACTAAAAAAAAAAAATAAATTTTATAAAAACTATAAATTGCAGGTGTCAGGTTTTAATTTTATAAAATTCTTGAAAGATTTTTTTTTTATGATATAATAATTTTTATATTAAAATACAGTAATTTAAATTTTACAGATGCTAATTGACATCAGTTTTTTTATCAATTGTTTTATACACATGATAAAAGGATCTATTCACATTTAGTGTGCAAAAGTATAAAATGTTGTAATATTAGATTTCATTGACACCAACTATAAGTTGATGTCAGTTTTTCATATCAAATCTTTTGTACAAATGTTTAACATAATAAAGGGCGCGTGCATTTGGCGTCATTTATTATCATTTCCGAAAAGGTAATTTTGTAGATATTATTTCTTTTTCGAATAATATTATAAATAAATAATATTACTGTTCATTATATTTGATTAATGTTGGTATTAATACAAATAATAATTAATAATTGGTACACTGCTATTCGAGAGAATAAAGATATTTTTTATAATACTTAAATCTGAACCATTAAAAAACCATACCTTGGATATATTCGTTGTATATCTTCTGATATTTATAAAAGAGAGGAGCTGTATACACTAGACGATATTTGTACGTGAAGCAAGGTGATGTGTATGTCAATATTATACACCATCGATCTTTCGTGCAATAGATTTTGCCTGAACAGGTTAGATCAGTGCGCAAGTTAGCTTTCGTTCCTTTTCCCTTCAACGCTAATATACGGTATTGCACTGTAAAAGTTAAATCATTGCAGGCAATTCAGTAATATAAAAAATAAACAATAGATATAATAAGTACGTAATACCGAACGGCGCGAGACCCGGAGATCACGTGCACCGGTATATAATAGCACACAAATTAACAAACGTAAGCATTAAAAGACCATACCTTAGATATATTCGATGTATATCTTCTTATATCTACACAAGAGAGAGCCTGTATGCACTAAACGGTATTAATACGTGAAGCAACGTGATGTATATCAATGTTATACACCATCGATCCTTCGTGCAACTTCGTGCAACAGATCTTGCCTGAACAGGTTATTATTGAATTGCCTGTAATGATTTAACTTCTACAGTGCAATACCGTATATTATTAGCGTTAAAGGAAAAAGAAACGAAAGCTAACTTTCGCACTGGCCTAACCTATTCAGGCAAGATCTGTTGCACAAAGGATCGATGGTGTATAACATTGATACATCACATTGCTTCCCGTATTAATACCGTCTAGTGCATACAGCTCTCTCTTGTATAGATATAAAAAGATATATACATCAAATATATCCAAGGTATGGTTTTTTAATGCTTAATACGTTTGTTTGTGTGCTATTATATACCGGTGTACATAAATCTTCGGGTTTTACGCCTTACGTTTGGTACGCTTATTACGCTTATATAATATGTTTATTTTATATATTAATAAATTGCAGACTTAACTTTTACACCACACAGTGAAATAATAAGTACTACACCGTATATTAACGTTGAAGGGAAAAGGAAATCTAATTTACGCACTGGTTTAAGCTGGTCGGGCAAGACCTGTTGCACAATTGGTGCACAGCATTGTCATTTCTTTATTTGCAAAAAGTGAGTATTTATCATGCGCAATTAGCTAAATTAAAAAATATACATATAGAATATTTAATTTCTTTTTTCCACGTATGGATTATCGTTAATCTAATCTGAATCTAATATAAGCAGAAAATGTTATGTTATACAAAATGTGTAAACAGTACTTTTTGTTTTTTCTATAGTTGTATAAAGATACAAACATAGCCTTAAATTAACTCACATTTATTTTTACAGGAAATTGAAGCATTTATTCAAAAATGAATAAAAGAAAATTAAAACATGTGTCTAAAATTTCAAGTCGACAATTTCGTCGGCGTGTTCACAATACTGTGATGAAGATAATAGACAAGATTGAAAACAGGGCTACTTATGAGAGTAAGTAATTTTCCATTTATTATATAGTGCATGAACAACAAAGAGAATGACGCTTGCGTCAACTTGTGTCGTTAACTGGAAAGCACCTAATGTTTTTATTGAATTAGAATTGTTAATTTGCAACTATATTCTTTAGTTTTGAAACGCTATATGATAATAATGCATGATTCCTGCTTTACGTTTTAATTTACAGGTATAAGTATTAAGAATAACAATAATGTCCCATTAAATTCTGTCTCATCAAATGCTACAAGTGATACAGTAAGTATTCTTTTAGCACAATACTCAATTCAAGCAGTTCTTTCTAAAACAGTACAAAAGCATATTAATATTAATGTAAATAAATTTTTACAGGTATGTGAAGAAGATACTGCAAGCAATTTGCCTATACTTTGCAATGATTTGCATACTGACAATCCATCTGACAGTGATAATGAATTGTTAAATCATGGAATGTGTGGATATGAAGAAAATGAACGTAGATGTTTGGCTACATTACATTCATCATTGGAAGAGAGTGAAGACAGCGATCAAGATGAGGCAACGTCAGAAGTAGAGAATTTCTTAAGGAATTGAACTGTAAAACATTTAATCAAGAATATTGCTGTTACAGACCTTCTGTCGCATTTAAAAAAATATCCGTACTTTTCTACTTTTCCAAAAGATGCCAGAACATTGTTACATACTCCGCGAAAATGTAATACTATAGATATAGAACCCGGTAAATATTTTCATTTCGGCATAGCTAATGGTATAATGGACACAATATTAAATGATGATTTGAAAAGACAAAAATGTAAATTGCAAAGTGTACAAATAGCTTCAGGTATTGACGGTCTTCCCCTTTGCAAATCATCATCTAGTACATTTTGGCCAATTTTAGGTTCTGTACTTCCTAATGGATCTGTCTTTATCATTGGAGCTTATGAAATTTTAAACCTAAAAGTAGCAATCTTTTTTTGAGAAATTTTGTACATGAGGCATTATTTTTGTATGAAAACGGAATTGAAATAGATGGCATAAAAGTTCCATTTTCTATCAAATACTTTGTCATGGATGCACCAGCAAAATCATATGTTCTGAATGTGAAAGAGCACACAGGTTACAACAGTTGTACGAAATGTCATGTTAAGGGTCTCAGTGACCATAGACGTGTATATTTTTTGAAAAAAAATGCACAGAAAAGAACTAATGAAGAATTTAGATTGCACGCGGATTTTTATTATCATTTGGATAGGAGTGAATTAGAAATTTTATTAAACATTGATCTGATTAAATGCTGATTAAATGTATCCTTCTCAATTATATGCATTTGATCTGTTTAGGTGTGATGCGTAAATTAATGTATTTGTGGGTGCACAATGATGGTAAGAAAAGAAAATGGCAACTTAGCGCAAATCAAATTCAACATATGTCAGATGTTCTACTAAAGATAAAATTGTATGTCCCAAGTGAGTTTCAACGCAAACCACGTTCATTGATATTTTTAAAACAATGGAAAGCGACCGAATATCGTCAATTGTTGTTTTACACAGGATTGGTAGTTCTCCGATATGTATTGCGTGAAGATTTATATCAGCATTTTGTACAATTGCATGTTGCAGTTAGAATTTTATCGTGCAGCGATCTTCATGAACATTTAAATTATGCTCAGCTTCTTCTGGAACATTTTGTAGAGTCGTTTAGTCTTCTTTATAACAATTATTTAGTATCACATAATGTTCATGGCCTTATACATATTACGGAGGATGTTAGACATTTCGGAAGTATAGAAAATTTTAGTGCATTTCGGTTCGAAAATTTTATGCACTTTATCAAAACATTGATTCGTAAAAGCGAGACACCACTACAACAGCTTTTTAATCGTTACAATGAAATTTATAAACGTTATAAAAATGATAAGCATAATATAACTAATTTAGATAAATTAGTACCTGTACAATCTTCTGCTTACAACGACGTCGTACCAGATGGATGTAAAAATCCTTTATACAGTAAAGCAGTATGCAGTAATTTTACATTATCAATTAAAGAAGATGCTAATAATTGTTGCGGTTTAGAAGATGGTAGCATTGTAATCGTTCAAATAGCATGGCATGTACAGCTGAATGATTACATAATAATAGGAAAACGATTTCTAAGAAAACAAAATTTTTATACTACCCCTTGCGAATCAAGTTTGCTAGATACTTACGTTGTTTCAAAATTAGCGTTATCAGAAAACACAATATGGCCATTGTTTAAGGTAAACCAAAAATTTTTTATAATTCCGTATAGAGATGACAAATATGTTGTCCTTCCATTATTACACAATGACAGTGATTAATTTGATAATAACTTTTATTTTGTTAAGTATTGAAACTTATTGTTAAAACTTTTTTAAAATGTGTATCAACATTGTGTAATAATAACTTTTATAATGTTCCGTATGATATATCAAAAACGTTATTTTTTATATGGTATTAAACAAATAGAAATATATCTTTGTAATTTGTATTATAATATTTTCTTTGTACTTCCTCCTTTTCCTCTCTCCCCCTTTTTCTCTCTCTCTCTCCCTCTCTGTCTATAAAAATTAATGAATTAAGATATATAAAATAAGTAAAGACATTTTATATTTTAAATGTTTTTACGATTTTCGTAACTATAATATGGATTAAATATAATATATTACATAATACAATACTTTCCAAAAAATAGTGTTTCACATTTTTCAATTATAGAATTAATTATGTAATTATGAAGTTAATTCAAAAATATATGATTGTATAATAACGTGCAATTAATCTTTTTATAGTTTTAAGATATCTTATACAAAGCATAAGATATCCTAAAGGATATCTTTATATCGATCCTTTATATCCTTCAGAAGATCTCGTAAGATATCTTTATGCAAAGCCAACGGATATGGCAGAATATTTAGATATCTTGAGATCATAATAGGATATCTCACGATATCTTATTAGAATATCCCGGGATCACCTGCTGTGATATCCGTGGGATCGTATTTGGAAATCTTGGTCAATTTGGGATATCCTCAGGATACAGTGTGCTGTGTGGGATAAAAAATCGCACACTCTCTGTGACCGAAAAGTACTGAGATTGAGTGCCGGCCCGCGCGCGGAGATCCGAAGGTTTTATCTCCGTGAATCTCGAAAGTTTTTTGAACTCTGGACTCCTGGCAACGAGCCGAAAAATTCGCAGGGTCAATCAGCTGTCAACAGCTCGAAAAAGCAGCTAATTTAGCGAGTATCAACGGCTCAGCTGATCTCAGAGTCGACAACCGATCAGCTGTTTTCGCCGAAATCTCTCCGCTTTGTCCCGAAGGTTTACCTCGCGCACTCCCGAGGTCTCGAGATAAACGAGAATCAGTACAGGCAAAAACAAGACATCGTTTTTCTGTCTCGCAATGTTTCTAAGAAATATGCTATTTATTCCCGAAACGCATTTAATTAAGCATTTAATATATATTTAATAGAAATTAAGATCGATTTAAGTTGAAGGATTAAGCAATTTTCCGGAAAGATTAAGTAACAATTTTTTTGCGTGATTTAATGAATTCGATTCCAAATATACGGGTACCCGAATTATCAAATTACCCGCAGACCCGTATACAACGGAAAGCGGGCGAATACCTATGTACTCAGGTAACTAGTTTTTCCCTAACTCTATTCGTAACATATACCCGTAACATATCGATCTCCCGTTGTCAGCATGTCAATATACAATTGACATAATAATTGCATAGAGACTTACCTGTATTGCATATCCACGTTTTGCATCTTGCGTTTTGCTTTGAGAATCTGAATAGCCGTTTTCCATGCGACAATTTCCCATTCTTGCACTCTTTGTACATGCACCTATTGTAAAAGCTATCTACAGAGCACTGGCTCAACATTGCACTTGTTTATAATAACGCGATGCGAAAAGAAATTATAAAA